TAGGGTAAAAGGGTTCAGGGTTTTAGGGTATCTTGGATTTTTCCCTGGAAACCTTCAAAATCAAAATCCGAGCCTTCAAATCCTAAACCCTTCGTCCGTATGTCCCCTTTTGAGCGATCCAAATAATCAAATATGTTTGCCATACCCTGAATTCTCAAGACAAGATGAATTTACAATTGCTTCGGGTGCCAATTTCCGTAACATTTAAACTCTGTCACATTCAAACTTTGGAACCTTGAAGGCAGAATGACCCCAAAACAATTAAGTCGTTGTAATAACCCCAAACCCTAGATCCTAAACCCCAAACCCTAAACCCCAACCCAAGGAAAGTCCTGGTGGCGGCGCAGGGGGATCAGCCGGCGTAGGCTCGATCAGCGCAGGGCCCATTTTAAACCTAAGTGGCTACGAGTTTAGGGTCTTGGGTACTGCAAGTGGGAATGTTTACGTCGCAAAACTCGCACAAGCACATGGGCCCAAGTAAGCATCGCCTTCTGCTCTGACCCAGACCCTACAGTAGGCCTCCAAGATCTACAGCTTGGAGGTCTGAAAAACTCACTGCGATCCCTTATGAGGTTTCTCCAACATACAGTTGGAGAATACAATCCTGAATGACCTTAAGTATATGATAACAACATACATAACTCTTAGGGCATAGGTGTTTTGGGTCATGCAGGTTTGTTACCCCGTATTCTATCTACTTAATGGGGACTATAACCCTAAACCCTAAACCCTAAACCCTATAAACCCTACATTCTATCTACTTAAGGGGGACTATAAGTCTACCGCAGGGGTCCTTTCAATGGGCTTTTTTCCGTAGTGTTAGGCCGGCCCCCAGTTGTGAGAAATGTTCTTATGGAGGTTCTACAAATTATAGTCCCCCTTAAGTAAATAGAATATGAGGTATATAGGGTTTAGGGTTTAGGGGTTTATAGGGTTTAGGCTTTAGGGTTTAGGGTCCCCCTTGAGTAGATAGTGTATAGGGCTTGGATTTATAGGGTTTAGGGTTGAGGGTCCCCCTTAAGCAGATAGAATATGGGGTATATGGGGATCTTATTATACTATACCCAAAGCCATATTCCATCTACTTAAGGGGGACTATACCCCGTGTAGCATCCTGGTCACGGACCCCCCAGCATCCCCCTGTGACTGTGTGTTTACCCTTGGGGTCCCCAAGATCTCGCTTTTCCAGAAATAGCCATATGTACTATGGTCTAAACTCCTTAATGGGGATTATTCAGGGGATTGTTTAGGGGACCAATTATAGGGGCTACTAAGGGGGATACTGGGAGTTTAGACTATAGCTCCGCCCTGCAGATGCCCACGAAGATCAATCATCCGTTTGGGCTTGCCCGCGGTTCCAACCATAAACGCACAAAAACCCTCAAGCGGTTTAGGGTGTTGGATGTTAGGCATGTGCTAGGGAGTTAAAGCAAGTAGCCATACAATTCAGAGAGGAACAACAGGAAAAACCCTAAACCCTAAACCCAAGGAACGAGAACAAAAAAAAGTTGCAGAGATTGAGGCTCCTACATGAGCTAGCCTTACTTTCGGCGCCTCCTTCGTACTAACCCCCGAGGCCCTCTACCATACATCCTTCACCCCCCAAAAACATGCAACCCCGCAAAAAAAGCATCCCTGACCCTCAAAATGAAAATGACCCAACGCTGAATTCTAGGCTTCAACCCCCTATACACCCCAACAAGACATAAGTCTCATGCCGATAGCACACGTCTAAGGGCTCAAGCTGCTCGAGGTTCACTGACCACTAGACCCTAATCTTTCTAGGGGTCAGTAGGGAATACGGGAAGATAATTATACAAGGATTATACAGAGGTCATATTCCTTTATTCCCCAGAAAAGACTTTAAACCCAAGAACCTACATGCCGAACCCTAAACCCGGTCCAGGGACGGACGAAACTTTTCGACCATGGCTTCGCGCTTCTGGCGCGGTGCGCGCTTCCGGCATTGCCTAGGCTAAGAAAATCACGGTAATCCCCGTTTTTAGATATACGTGGAAAAACCAATGCTATTCTAATGTCATGACAGTAATGTCTTCTAGTAGTATAACGGAAACTATATCCTAACTTGATCAACGTCTAGCAGTATATGGCAAAACACAAAGGGGGATCTACTATGGAAACCGTCACAAGACTAACTTGTGTGTTTTGCTACCTAGATCCCTTCGACCCAGAACAAAAACGATTTTGTTAATCGCTCCTCAGAGTGATACTACAACAAGAGTTCAGAATACTTTTTGAGGGGGATGGGAACATTAACAGGGTGGGATGTGGGGATCAGTTTTGAGTGGCGTTTGCTGATGAAGGTGCACGATTGAGCGTTTCGGATTGAATGTGAGGACTTGCTGCAAAGATGGATGTGCAAACCCTAAACCCTAAACCCTAAATGTGTCCTGCAGATGCTTGTAAAATTGAATGCACGTGATGTGGACAAACACCAGTGTGATCTCCGATGTCCAACCCTAAGCCCTAAATGGGTTCCGTGTCATCTTGGGGGAAGATAAACGCTAAAACATGAACCCGAAAATCCAACCATCAAAACACACTACAATAAACCACAATATAATGTACTATAATATGCTAAAGTATACTGTAATATGGTACAATATTAATATAACTTTCGCCCCAGCTGCACAGCAAGGCTGTCTTCAACCAGCGATTTCCTTTCCTGTGTCGTCTTTGCACGCTCAAGGGCTTGGGATTCTGTGGGAAGGGCTGATAAAGGCCCCTTTAAAGGTCCATAGGGGTTATATGGGGTTGGTAGAGATTTACGGGGTTTAGGCTTTAGAGTCTTTAGTTTAAGATTATGGGTTAAGGTTTTAATCGGATCAAAGAATCAAGGCTTAGAAATGGCAACTTCCTGAGGGCTCAGGATTTACGTGTTGTTTGGTTGTACCCTAAACCCTAAACCGTAAACCCTAAACCCTAAACCGTACCCTTGGACTTACAGCGAGAGTTCACGTCAAGCTCTTGGCCGCTGCTACTCCGGACTCCGTGCCCGACCCTCTATCTGCCCGAAAGCACCGCTTGCAGCACGGCGTTTCGCCCGCATCCCTAGCCCGGAGACCAGCTTCGTCTTACACAGGATGGGAAGAATAGTGGCTTCTTCGCAATCACGGATAGCCACTTTATTCATGGTCAGCAGTGTGGGCAATGTCTGCAAAGAGCCCACCACGTTGCTAATTGCTGAAGTCGTTCTTCAGGTCAGTCGCTGGACTTGCTGGCTCTTCTGCCGTTTGGCCGCACGCACCTGATCCACACCTGGCAAGTCGAAGTTTTCAAGCTCGGCCTCCTGCACGTATATGACGCAGGATCGCCTGGGTAACCCAGCGGCCGATGGGCATGATGGTGCTGACCGGCTCTCCGACACGGCTGAGCAGCAAGCAACGTCCAAGAAACTGTTGCACCGGACCAGCGCCGGGAGAGCGGCCCAAAGTTCATTGCCAAGATTGAGCGAATCAAAGCGATGACCTCCTTCTTCGGCACATGCTCAGCACCAGCTCCTGCAAACAGTGGTAACTCTGGATCTTTCGGCACGAAGGGATGAAAGGCTAACAAACGAGAAGACGGATGTGAATACTAAGGCGAGGCTATTACTGATTTACAAGCGGATTTCAGCCCCCAAAGTTAAAAACTCACTACGAGCATGATAGCTATAGCGTCTGGACTTCGTAGGTCGGGGCTACCAAACTCCCCCTAAACCAAAATCCCTCTAAACCCTGAACCCTAAAAACAAAAACCCTGACTTTGCATGTCATGTACCACATGACGTTGCTTCCTATTGCATGTCATGTGCCACGTTGCTTCCTATTTGACTCTCCACTCTTCCGGATCACCAGAATCCAATTGTCGTCGCAACATTGACAATCATGTTGGGTCAATCCCCCACCCAGTCATGGGTACCACAAGGGACTGCTGTCGGTATATTAAGGCCCTAATAACTCCATATTGAAGAGCCATTGCCATAGAAGGATTGACCGAATAGTTATGTGGAAAGTAGGCATTCCGATAGCAAGTCGCGCCCCCAGCCAACCCAAACTTACACGGCGAGCCCCACAACCCTAAGCTCCTAACTACGAAATGCGCAAAACCGCCAAACCACAAGCCCCCCTAAGCCTCCGAAGGCCGAAACGTTCAACCCTAAACCCTAAACCGTCAATTGGAAAACCCTTGACTTGTAACCCTAAGGCCTAAACTCTGAACTTAAACCCAAAATCTTCAACCCTAAGCCCTAAACTCTGCACCCTAAACCCAAAGCTGTCAACCCGCAAGCCTAAACATGCAACCCTAAGCCCTAAACCCTAAACCCTTAATCCTAAATCCTAAACCCCTAAACCCTTGGCAGGGGAGCCTTCTTCGCAGAAGGCAGCGCGCAAAGCCATCCCACGTAAGGTGTCGCGGCGCTCCCACGGCGCAGGCTGCAGGCGTTGAGGGCTATTTAGGGCTTAGGGTTTAGGGTGAACTCCTTAAAGGGGTGGTTATTTAGGGGGTATATAGGGTCTAGGGTTTAGGGTTTAGGGTCTAAAGCCTTTCGACAACCTCAGGCCGCCACAGACAGTCATTTGTTCACGGTTGGCGTTGCAAACCCAACCTCTGTGTTGCACAAGCAACATGAACTTGCGCAAGTGGGTGCGGATCTCCTGTTTCTTTCCGAAACTTCAGCTGTCTCCCGCACTCAGCACATTATGAAGTCCAGGCTCCGACAGGAGGGACTCTCTGTCATCTGGGGCCACCCGGTCCAATGTCATAACTGCGAGTCTGGTCCAGATAAGTCACTCAGGGGTCACGCTGCCGGGGTTGCCATCCTTTCCACGGGTCAAGCACATGCGCCCGTACCTCAGATGCCTGACTCTATGCTGGCCACACAACGCTTGGTCGAGGCCATGGTAAGGTTTGGTCCCATAGAGGTCCGTGCCATAGCACTTTACGGGTTTCCTAGGAATAGGTCGGGATACCTTGAACATAACCAGGCCCTCTTGAGCATGGCTTTGCAGCGCGTTCAGCAGTCAGGCATCCCGACTGTGATTGGGGGAGACTTCAATATGGATGTGGCAGCCCTCCCAGCATGGGAATGTCTGCGTGCCCTCGGCTATGTTGAAGCTTTTCAGTTTGCTGCGGACCGGTTGGCGCGAACTTTACCTGCCACTTGCCGCCACTCCACCAAGAATGACAATGTCCTCATCCCCCCTTTCCTTCAGCCGCTGCTGCAGCGGGCGGATGTCCTCACAGAGGCCCACTTGTTTGACTCGCATGCACCCCTCCTCTTGACTTTTTCAGTACCCTATGCGTACCCCGCTGTCCTTCATTGGAAGCTCCCTCGAACATGGGCAAATTTGCAGCCGAAGCAGGCAGATGTTGCGGCCGCCTATGCCAGCCACCAACCGCTCGTGCTTCAGCAAGTATGCTCATGTACAACCACAATTCAGCTGCAAGCAGCTCTCCAACACTGGGCCCAGTGTGTGGAGTGGTCTGTTGATACAGCCCTTGCCGCAGCCCATCAGCAGGACCCGTCCAAACATACGGTCCCACGTCTGCCTAAATCAGCGAGAGGTAGGTGTCAAGCCCCCGAACGGAGGTGGCAGCGTTTCCCGCAAGCGGCACGGGCTGCGCGTTGCGGGGATTATACCCCGCCAGAAGAGGCCGTGTCGATTCAGGCCAGGATGATGGTCAGGCAGGTCCGACGCCTCCAAACGTACTGTCGGGGTCGCGAAAAAATTTGCGCGCACTGCTGATGCAGCCTTGGGAGCCCAACTCCAGCAGGAGTGGTCTGCGATAGTTCGAGGTAAGGGTTTTCCGCCTGACTTCCCCCAATGGATTTTGACGATTGCCCATTTCCACACCTTTTGGAAAAAACACCCCCCCGCTAGATTGGGTCAAGGAAGTTTATGAATATACGAGGTTTGCCACGGACGCAAAGGTCCGGCAGTCGGCGCAACACCGAAAGAAACTTGCACACTTCCGACTTCAGTGGAATGCGAAACATGCCGGCATGAGCCAAGGCTTTGCAGCCATCAAGCCCGTGCCTCACCCTCCTTTCTCAGCTATACCCGTGGTGGAGCGACGGGACATTCAAGTCACAGAGGTAGTTGATCCACAGCATGCCTGGGCTTCAGTCCAGTTGCCGCAGTTCCTGCGCCATTTCATGACATGCCAAACTGCTGCAGGACATATGTACATTACGGATCAGCGCCAGGTTGAGTCCGGGTCCTTTGAGATTCTTTTGCGACATGACAATCTGCAGTTGCTCCCAGAGCAGACCCTGCACCTCGAACAGCACTCTTGTGCCTCATCCCCAGATGAACTCCATCGGGAATTTTATGAATATTGGTCCGCCATTTGGAATAGGGATAAGGGTAGGCGACGTACCTGTGAGGATTCTTGGGCGGATGCCTTAGCTGACCTCCCACCCCTGCCAGACCACGCAGCACCCCTCTGCATCGCTGATTTTGATTTGGAAGCGTGGCAGAAGGCATTGCAGGGCATGCGGCCGAATAAGGCCACAGGGTGTTGTGGGTTTACTGTTAGGGAGCTTAAAAACCTGCCTGTCCCCATTCTCCATGACCTGTCAAAAATTTTCGAGCAAGGCATGACTTGTGGACTGCCAAAAACTCTCACAGCAGCAAGGGTGGCCATCCTCTCTAAAAGGCCCTGCCCCACGAGTATGTCCCATGGGCGACCAATCGTCATTTTCGCAACGCTCTATCGGCTCTGGGCTTCGGCAATGGCACAAACGATTTTGCGCCATTGGACCACGTGGCTGCCATGGAGCATCCGCGGAAGCCTTCCACATCGCTCAGCCCGGGACATATCTTTTGCCCTCGAAAACCTTGTAGAACAGGCATTGTTTAACAAAAAACCTATTAGTGGGTTCAGCTTCGAAGTGGTAAAATGTTTCAATCAAATAC